AAGATCCGATTTGAATCGGGTGTTCGGGGGGTCTGGTGCGGCCGGGTGGTCTCGCGGGAGCGTGGGTTGGGGAAGAGGAGGGGGATGATACGCAAGGAGGAGAAGGAGGAGAAGGAGGAGGAGGAGGAGGAGGAGTGAGGAAGGAAGGGAGGGAGGGAGGAGGAGAAGGAGGAGGAGGACGAGTTGGAGGAGGACGAGTTGGAGTAGGAGGAGGAGCTGAAGGAGCTGAAGCGCGCAGAAGTCATGCCGCGGTAAAAACGACAAGCCCCGCTTGACGCATAGACTCGGCACTGGGAAAGGGGTTTGTCGCCTGGAGGAGGAGGAGGAGGAGGAGGAGGAGGACGAGGAGGAGGAGGAGGAGGAGGAGGAGCACGAGTGAAGGAGGGACGGTTGGATGATGATGATGATGATGATGAGGAGGGGCGGAGGAGGAGAGAGGAGAGGAGGAGGAGGGGAGGACGAGGTGGAGGAGGAGGAGGAGGAGGAGGAGGAGAGGCGAGTTGGAGGGAGGAGGAGGAGGAGGAGGAGGAGGAGGAGGAATTAGGAAGGAGGACGAGTTGGAGAAGAGGAGGAGGAGGAGGGGGGGACGAGTTGGGAGGAGGAGGACGAGACGGAGGAGGAGGAGGAGGAGGAGGAGGAGGAGGGACGAGGAGGAGGAGCAGGAGGAGGAGGAGGCGCGCCGGCGCTCCCGCAGGCGGGCCCCCGCTGCAGCACCTCCGGCGGGCGCCAGGGGGCCGCTCGGGGCTCGGCCGGGCGGCCCGCCGCGGCAGCGCGGGAGGATCTCGCGGCGTGAGGGAGCGAGGGAGGGGGGGGGGTGAGGAGGGAGGGGAGGGAAGGAGGAGGAGGGAGGGGGAGGGACGGAGGGAGGGGAGGGGAGGAGGGGAGGAGGAGGAGAGGGGGGAGGGAGGGCGGGAGGGCGGGAGGGGGGAGGAGGAGGGAGGAGGAGGGAGGGGGGAGGGAGGCGGGAGGGGAGGGAGGGAGGGAGGGCGGAGGCGGAGGGGAGGGAGGGAGGGACGGAGTGGAGGGAGGGGAGGGGAGGGAGGGCGGGAGGGGAGGGGAGGGAGGGACGGATGGAGGCAGGGATGGAGGGGAGGGAGGAGGGAGGGAGGGCGGGAGGGCGGCAGGAGGAGGACGAGGAGGAGGAGGAGGAGGAGGAGGAGGAGGAGGAGGAAGAGGAGTGTCAGCAACAGGCCATAGCGACGTTCCTGCCTGACCAGGCGGTAGGCAGGCCTGGGGCATGAGGAATGGCAGCAGCAGGCGGGGGCAGCAGCAGGCGGCGGGGGCAGCTGCCTTTCGAGATCGCGTGTCGCGCGCGGGCCGCGGGCTGCCGCCAGAGGCTTTCGAGCAGTGGCGAAGCGCCCTGGATTGCCTATAGGCCCGCCGAAGGATGTTCTAAGAACCTTTTGTGGTCTGCACGTGATGTTCTCAGAGCATTTCTGGCTGGGACTGTTTGGTTTCAACACGTAGGCTTTGTGTTCTCAGAACATGATGACTGTTCTTATAAACATATTTGAGTTCTAAGAGCATTTCGTGGTAGGCCTCTCGGAATGCCCGGACGATCGGTCCCTGCTCAAGGTTTTCGGCGAGGTTGTGACCGGGGGGGAGTAGGTCAGAGGAGGACAAGGTGCCCATACTTCTACCCTTCCCCCGTGTTCCCTTCTCTCGGGCCTCCTGGGATGCCCTCGCCGCCACCGCTGGATTCGCATCGACATGGTGGTCAGAACGTAATTACCCCGGGAGAAGAGGTCCTGGAGGCAGCGGCATCGGTACCTCTTGGTTTCTCCAGGGAGGGGGGCAGATCGGGGCGCAAGAGGCGGGGGGGTCAATGCCAGCGGGGGTGTGCCAGAGCGCCAGAGCGCACTGATCTGGGCTTGGCAAGTGCGGTAGGTTCGCGTCGCGTCGACCAGCGGCGACTCCGCCGCTGGCGTTCAACGTTGAACGCCGATGGCGACCCAGAGTCGGTCGATGGAGAACGATCTGTCGTTTCGGAAACGGCCGATTGTTCACTGTTAAACGATTCCCGTGGTGTCAGGGACCAACGCGGGGTTCACACGACACGATCCTGCTGTGCAGGATCCTGGTGGGCCAGTAGGTCCCCGGGAAGAGGAGGCCGGTCACGTCGCGTTGCGCGCCGGCCCCGTGTTGGAATGCCTCTCTTGGCGGCCCAGGGCTCTTGCAGGTCTACAGAAGACTGGACGAGCATTTGTTACTTACGAAGTACGAAGTGCTGTTCTAAGTCTCCTCTGAGTATCGTGCTGAGTCTATTGAGCGGACTTCGGGCCACCCCGCCACCGTGCCTGGGTTGTGCGTCAGAAGTCTCAGGGATGCTTCTTCGGGGTGCTCTGGGTGGCCTCTTGGGAGCAACTTGGGGGCCTCTCGGCGGCCTCGCGGGGGCCTCCTGGGAACCTCTTGGAAGCCTCTTGGGAACCTCCTGGGAGCCTCTTGGGGGCCTCTTGAGGGCCTCTCTTGGGAGGCTCTCTTCGGGGCCTCGTCGGGGGCCTCTTGGGAGCATCTGGCCCTCCTGGGCCGTCTTGGGGCCCTCTTGGGCCGTCTTGGGGCCCTCTTGGGGGCTTCCTGGGGCCGTCCTGCGGCGACCTTTGGGGCCTGATGGACCGTCTTGGGCGTCGGGAAGCCGAAAAGGCGGGCACGTCTCGTGCTATGTCTGTTACTGAGTTCAAAATCAAGTACTTCGCTGACGCACGGATCCTGGACGACGACGAGACGAGACGACGACGACAACGCCGACGACGACGACGACGACGACGACGACGACGACGACGACGACGGCGACGAAAATGGCGGCGGCGGCGGCCCGCTGGACTCACCGCGCCGCCCGCAGGGGCGTTGTGTCGCCTTTCCGCCCATGGGTAGTCGGATTCGCTGTCGGGGCCTCGCGCCGATCTATCGATCGGCGACATACCGTCGATTCCAGCTCGATGTCTCCCCCCTGAATCAGTCGCCCCATGTCATATCATTACCCCGCACCCACTTTGCCTGCTGCTCGGAGGAGGAGGAGGAGGAGGAGGAGGAGGGGAGAGGAGGAGGAGGGCGACGCCAGCTACCGGGCGACGAATAGGAGGCGACGAGGAGAGAAAGGGCGAGGAGTAAGAGGGAGACGAGGGGGGAGGAGGAGGAGGAGGGGAGAGGAGGGAGGAGGAGGAGGAGGAGAAGGAGGAGGAGGAGGAGGAGGAGGAGGAGGAGGAGGAGAGGAGGTGGAGGAGCGGGGGAGGAAGAGGAGGAGGGGGAGAAGGAGGAGGAGGAGGAGGAGGAGGAGGAGGAGCAGGAGGTGGAGGAGCGGGAGGAAGAGGAGGAGGAGGAGGAGGAGGGGGAGGAGGAGGAGCAGGGTGGGAGGAGGAGGAGGAAGAGAGGAGGAGGAGGAGGAGGAGGCGGAGGATGCAGGAGGAGGAGGAGGAGGAGGAGGAGGAGGAGGAGGAGGAGGAGGAGGAGGAGGGGGGGGGAAGGCGAAGGGCAGGAGGAGAGGGATTGAGAGAGAGAAAGAGGGGCCCGGGAGAGGGTCGAGGGGCGAGCCGTGTGCACCGGTTCTACGTCTCTTCTCCGTCGTCGTGTCATCCCCTGAGGGCTTTTTAAAAAGATCGTCATTTTTGTTGTTTTCGGAGCAGTTTTCATTCCGTTTTGGGATTGCCGTCCCGCCGTGTTCGGTTCGCCTTGCGATCCGTTTTTAACGTGTTTTCAATTGCTGTGTTGCAGCCGTTTTGTGCGCGTTTTATACGTTTTCCAGTTGCCGTTTCTGTGTTTGCTATCCATTGTTTTTCTGTTGTTGCCAGGCCTTGGCAGACAAGAGCGCCCCCACCGTTACCGCACGATCCGCACCGAGCGTTGCGAGTGTGCCCTGTTGTCGCTTGCAGCAGGCGCGTGGCAGACCCCTGTGAGGGCTCGCGCATGGCGGGCACATGGGCATGTCCATGCTCGCCCTCTGAGCAGGAGGAGGAGGGGGAGGAGGAGGAGGAGGAGGAGGAGGAGGAGGAGGAGGAGGAGGAGGAGGAGGAGGAGGAGCAGGAGGAGGAGGAGGAGGAGGAGGAGGAGGGAGGAGGAGGAGGAGAGGAGGAGGAGGAGGAGGAGGAGGAGGAGGAGGAGGAGGAGGAGGAGGAGGAGGAGAGGGGGGGAAGGCGAAAGGCAGGAGGAGAGGGACCCTCTCAGCATTGGAACTTGGCGCGGGGGCGGGCAGGAGACAGCACCACGGCGGGCGGATCCTCCGCATCAGGCGGGGCGCGGCAGCCCTTGCTCTGGTCAGCACGGGCAGGAGCGCACCATCGTGCCGCACAGCCATCAGTGGGTCTCCAATCGGGGCGGTGTGTAAAGGTGCAGGGACGATCCGTGCGTGCAGTAGTCGGGATGTAGCTCCTGGGAGCGGCGATTCGGTATCGGCGCTGGTTAATGCCCGTGGTTATCCAGCATCCTCCCGGCTCATTCCGCTCAATCCTGGCGTTTCTTTCCCTAATTCGGCTTATTCCCGATCTCTATCGAGCCTCATCTGGCCTAGTGGCCCTGCCATCGGGGTTCATAGCCTCTGCGCAGCAAGCCCGCAGTAGTGGATAAGAGTGAGGGGGCGGCGGGATCCTCGGTAGTCTGCGAGGCTCCGAAGCGGCCCGGCGCAGTCGCCGTTTTTCTGACACATTGCACAGCGAGCCCGCCGCAGGTGCCTCATCTTCGTCACATCAATGCGGGTGGGTCGCGGGTGGGTCGCTGGTGGGTCGCGGGGTGTATCGCTGGGTGGGTCGTGGTCGGGTCGCGGGCGAGGACGACGACAAACAACAATAGCGCAGCAGCAATCCGCACCGCGGAACCCCACTTCAGCCACGCGCCCAGGGGCAGTGGATGACCGTTCGGCCCCGTTCACTCTTACGAATACAGTCGGGGCCCTGAAGAAGGAACCCTTTTCGTTGGGAAGGGGCTCCGCGTTCCTTAAGTGTTTCGCAGCTTGCCTCAGGCTTTCCTTATGTTTTCGACAGGAAATCGGAGGTTAACTTATGGGAGAAAGGGGCCTCGTTCCTTCTTTAGGGTTCCTTAGGTCAACGCCCCGACTGCATTCCTCCCAGGCATCGCACACAGGTGTTGGCACCATCCGTGCAGTGGCCCCGGCTTCCGGCCAGGAGCGGGGCGACGGGGAGGTGCAGCACCGAGGGCACCTCTTCGGCCTTCGGGGAGCCGCACTGTCGTGCGGGGGGCCTCGTGGGGCGTGCGCGTCGAGCCAGCGCTGCTGGTCAGGTCGTGCCATGCCCTCGTCTGCACGATCCGCGGCTGCAAGACGTGATGAGGCAGGATCCAGTACATGGTCTACAGTCGGGGCTTTGACCTAAGGAACCCCAAGTAAGGAACGAGGCCCCTTTTTCCCATCAGTTAAACTTCGATTTCCCATCGAAAACCTAAGGAAAACCTAAGGCAAGCTGTGAAACAATCAAGGAACACCGAGCCCCTCCCCAGCGAAAAGGGTTCCTTCTTCAGCGCCCCGACTGTAGCCGTCCGTAGTCATTTTGGCTGAACCCACTCGCCAAGCAGGGCCAGGCGTTTTGGGAGGGTCACACGTGACCGCGTTGAGAAAATGCCCAAGACCAAGCCTCCTAGTCTGAAGGCCAAGTTCGCCGAGTATGACAAGGATGGCAGTGGCAAGATCAGCCTCGACGAGTTTAAGGCGCTGCTCAAGCAAGGGGATCCAAACATTTCCGAGTCGTCCGTGATGACCGTCTGGAAGAAGGTCGATAAGGATGGCAGCGGAAGCATCAGCTCTAGCGAGCTCGCAGATTACCTGAGCAGCGGCGACAAGGCGGACTTCAAGAACCCTGGCATGTCCCCTGCGTGCAAGACGTTCTGCGACGTCTTCGCGAGCCTGACGCTGCAGAGCGAGGCCGGGAAGGAGGCTCGCGCACACGCCTTCACGGCTTGCGACCCCAATGGCAACGGTTACGTGTCCCTTGCCGAGGTGGACGGGTGGATTCAGAAGGTTTTGATAACCTACTTCGCGCAGGGCGAATGCGACGGAGATCCCAAGGAGGAGGGGGTGCGCATCTGGAAGTGCTTCCGAGCTTCCTACATCCGCGCTCACACAGATGCGAAGGACGTGGCAGAGTCGAAGACGTCTCACAGCGACGACTACGTGACAGCGAAGGAGTTCCGCGTCCTCTGCGTCTACCTCATCCTGTACGCGGCGATGTACGACGCCTTCTGCCTCATCGACGGCGGTGGTGGTACCGTCGAGGACAAGACTGACGATGATCGCAGGATGACGGCGGAAGAGTGGGCGGCGGGCTACAAGAAGGTCGGGGACCATGGCTTCATCGGCCTCAAGAAGGCGGCCGCGATGGACGCAGCGGGCGCGGCGGACGTGTTCAAGAAGATGAACAGCGGCAGGGACGCCGACGGCAAGGAGTATGGAAATGACAATGTTGTGATGCTTGCCGAGTTCTGCGCGTGGGTGGAGGCTCGACGGTCAAAAACAGCCACAAGCCGAAACTTCAGCAGGTCCGCGCGGACTGGTCGTGTCGGCGCCGGGGGGGAGGGGGGTCGGCGTCGACCGAGGAGATCAGCGCTGACCTCCGAGCGTATGTGTTCAAGCAGCTACGGCCACCACGAGGGTGCGACGTTCGTCGCGCTTCGCGGTCGGGGCGATCGTAGAGCGAGGCGCGAGTGCGTGGGGTTGGGGGGGGGGCGGCGCGGACGCGCAAAGATCATCGCGCTCCACAACGCGCGGAGATGGTTGCCCTGGGAACGAATGTGTTCGTGCAGTTCTCTATGATCGGTCTCAGAGCAGGGGAGGAAAACAAAAACCGCTCGGACCCGCGGGTACGGCGTTTACTGGACGGCCCTGGGCGTCTGCTAAACAGCCCTGCCCTGCTCGAGTCGTTCCCTGGTGGCGTCTACTGGTTAATCGACTTCGCGTGTCGGGGTGATGATTATCGGAAACTGGAACATATACATTACCAGCGGCGTGCTGTTTTTCAATCCCACGACTCCTTGAGGGCTGGGGACGACGTCGGGGTGGTGTGGTGTATACTTCTCCCCCGTTTTTCCGAGGGAAGCAACGACAAATGTACACACCAGGATCCCGTACACACCAGAACCCGCGCTCTCGTGCGAATCTAAGCGCAGGGTCGGGAAAAGCGTCGGTGTGTATATCGATATATATATATATATATATATATATATATATATCGATAGATGTATATATCGATATATATATAGAGAGAGAGAGAGAGAGTGAGAGAGAGAGTTGTTTTCCCTATGATTCCGGGGGTGCATCTCCTGCCATCCCGTCTAGAGGCCGAGGAGGTCGCGGCGGGCACCTCCTGGGGACAGATCCAGGGCGAAAAACCCGCCCGGACCCGACGGTGTGGCGGTTTGTTGGACGGCCCTGGGCGTCTGCCACACGGCCTGGCCCTGCTCGAGTCCTTCCCCCGGGGGCGTTCACTGAACGACTCCGCGTGCCGGGGTGATGCTTATGGGGGACGCATCTCCTGCACTTCTAGCGTCGGGCTGGATGAAATTTGCTGCATGCAGCCGGTTTCGGCCTCACCGAGGGGCCCATTCCTCGATACATAGCCGCCTCCGGCGCCGGGAGGCGCCGGGAAAATCAGCTATACGCGAGCTGATTCTCACCCCCCCCCCCCTTTGCTATCCCCCCCTTTCGCCCGACCCGATAGAGGCGGAGGAGATCGCGGCGGGCACCTCCTGGGGACAGATCCTGGGCCTCTGAGGCGGCGGGGCCGCCCCCGGGGCTCGGGCGGGGCTGAGGCCCTCCTCGCCTGGCCCCAGCGAGTGTCTCGGCCGCGGCCCGGCCGGCGAGGGCCACCGGTCGGCACGCTGAACCGCAGCGCGCTGGCCGCGTGGCGCCGTGGCTTGCGGAGATCTGGGGGAGCGAACAACGACAGAACGATAAGAGCTCGGGGGTCCTCCTCTTTCCCTTCCTCCTCCTCCTCCTCCCCCTCCTCCTCCTCCTCCTCCTCCTCCTCCTCCTCCTTTTCCTTCTCGGACAGATGCGATTTTAGGAGGGGGAGGAGGAGGAGGAGGAGGAGAGGAGGAGGAGGAGGAGGAGGAGGAGGAGGAGGAGGAGGAGGAGGAGGGGGAGGAGGGGGAGGAGGAGGAGGGGGAGGGGGAGGAGGAGGAGGAGGGGTCCGCGCGGATCGTTCGGATCCGCGCTGGAGACCCCCCTCCCTGGCGCGCGCGGAGCGCGCCAGGGGCGGCGCCGGAGGCGCCGCCAGGGGGGTCAGCGCGGATCCGAGAGATCCGCGCGGACCTCCGAGCTTTTATGTTTGTGTCGCTCTTCGTTCCCCGAGGAACGACGCAGCCCGTTTGGACGTGCGTTGCCGCATGCATCGTTCCAGAAAGATGTTGTTGGCCTCGTCGGCCTCTCACTTCCCCCTGACCTTGCGAGACCCTCCCGCTTCCCTCTGTGGCCCCCCCCCTTTCCCACTCCCCGCTCCGCCTCCTCTCCTGCTCCCCGCCCCCGCCCCTTCCTCCCCCCCCCTCTCCGCTCCCCGCCCGCTGCCACCTCCCTTTCTGCCCCCCCCCCTGCCCCCTGGTGTTGTTCTGCTGCCTCGCTTCCCGTCCCCCCTGTGCCTTCCTCCTGGCGCCCCCCGCGCAGTCCTCCTTCTGCCCCTGTCTGCCCCCTGCTGCCCTTCTGTCCTTCCGCAGACGTGCGCTGGTCCAGGAACGCCGGGCGGGGCGGCAGAGCGAACGGGACCGTGCAGTGGCCGTCTGCGTGCACGGCGCGTGCCGGAGTGAGCCCTGGTCGGGGCTCCAGCGCGGACCATTCTGCAGGAATGCCGTTTCCCCCCTATCCTCTCCTCCCGCCTTTTGGGTGTTCGTGTTTTAGAGACTTTCTTGGGGCCCGCTTATTGGATGTGTTCGATCTTAGTTCGACCCCAGGTCAATGCAAGGTCGATTCGAGTCGACGGACGTTCGACGCAGCATCAAAGCATGATTGGAGCGAGTGGTTCCAGGTCATTATCCTTCTCAAGAGAGGAGCCATCAGAGGAGCAAGATATCATGGTACTTACATGCTCCAAGATCTCCAAGGTTTCCAGGATCCCCCATGGCTCCTGACGTCCCGCACTGGCTGCGCCGCTAGATGCTTTGGAAATCCCGGGAGGTATCCCGAGCCAATCACATCATGACGCCGTTCTGCTCCCAGAGTCGGGGAAGCGTACTACTCGAGGACGCCAGAGCCCGGGTTCGCCTACGCTTTTTGACGAGCCCGCCCTGGATTCTGGCGGTCTAGTTTTCGTAGGAGGTTTGCAGCAGGCTCGCGTCACATTTCAGAATGTGTCTCGTCACTTTCCTGACGGCCCCGCTAGGCCAACATGAGCCTTCCGAATCCGAGTCTCACTTGGCATCATTCGGACGTGTGCGTTTTTCCTTAGGCGACGACCATCGAGGAGGAACTGGGATCTTCGAGCCCAAAACACGCACGAAACCGATCAACACAGGGGGAGTTCGGTAGCAAATCACGGGAGCCTGATCTATCCGCGGAAATCCGTCTGCAGCGTCGACGAGCGCCGAACAGCGCTTGGGCGTCAGCGCCGACCTCGCGTCGGTTGGCGTCGATGAGCGTCGTTTTCGCGTCGACCAGCGTCGATGTAGCGCCGATTTGCAAGAGCCGACAAGATGGCACGGGAGGCTCCCATGAGTTTCCACCGAAGGTGGCGCCCCCCAGGCCATCCCTGGCGCGCTCCGCGCCAGGGGGGGGGGGGGTCAGCGCCGATCCAAGCGATCTGCGCGGAGCTTCCTGCGTTCGTGTGTACGCAGTCCGTGTTCTTCTTCAAGAGAAGGGGTGCGTCTCCCGGGAGGCTCCCAGGAGTTGCCGCCGAAGGGGGAACGGACGCCGGCATCGACGAAGCCGCCCGGGGGCGTCTGCGGGACACTCCCGCACGGCCCGTCGGCCCCATCTGCGGTCGTGCGGCATTGCTGTGGGGCCCGGCCAGCCGCGGGGTGTTCCCTGTGAGGGTGGCTACGGGGGGGGCCACGGCAGAGGGCGAGGAGATGCCTACATACCTCGGCATCGCTCGGACGTGTGTAATGATATATCTTGGCGAGGGCCATCGGGCAGCCTTCTGGGTCACCCTGCGAGAAAGTGCACGCACAGAGCCGAAAGGTGCACCAGGAATGGACGGCCGAGCGATAGCGAGATGCATCCACCGCCGCTGGCCAGGCTCATCCTAGGCCCAGGAGCGGTGTACGCTTAAGTCGGGCAAGTCCCTCGACAGGGGGGATATTCAAAAATAGTCGAAGAACAGTGTGGGGTCGATCTCCTGATTATTTGTTGGGGGGGGGGCATTTTTTTAGCTATTTTCCATGTCTCGTCCAACATCAGCCTGTAGGAGGACATGCCCGAACTAAGTGTATACGCCCCCTGGCCTGGCCAGCGAGGCATCCAGACCGCGCCTGGGCCCGGGAAGGGCCTGCCCAGAGGCGGCGGACATGTGCAGATCTCGTCGCCTTGCGCTACAGTGGAGACGCATGCCAAGAAACACCCTGCTTGCCTTCAGGGTGCCCTGGGTTTCTTGGGTTTCGATGGTTCTGCTGTGGAAAGCGCGACTTTCCCACACCAAGAATCAAGGGACGTCCTGGGGTCTCAGGGTTGGGTGTCTTGTGGAAGGTGTCTTGTGGTCGAGCTCCTACTGTAGGGGGGGAAGGGGGATCCTCAGGGGGGGGGGATGCGTCGACCACCACTCGCCCACTGTTCGCCGAGGGGGGCCGGGATGGGCCATCGAGGGCAACAGATTCACCGCGATTGCTGCACGAGGAAGCCAGTTCGTAGTAAACGCGCCTGGTTACCCACCACCCACCAAGCCACCCCAACCCAACCCGAAGGCCCCGATTTGCCCTCCATTTCCAGTGGGGGGGGGGGGTCGGGGAACATCGGAACAAAAAACACAGGAAGCCCGTACCCCCCCCCCAACCCGAAATTCGGGGCTTCGGGTTGGGTTGGGGTGGTCTGGTAGGCAGTCAGTTACCATGCGCCCACCGTTTGGAGTCAGCGGCGCGTCGGAGGTAATTGCGCGTGTGTTTGCGTTCTCCAGAAGGTTGCGTTCTGACAAGGGTACTCGTAGCCCCTGATCCCAGATTCAATGGCCCCCCTGAGAAACTCGGCCCCCCTTTGCAACTTAATTGTCCGTACCCGTCTCAGAGGTTGGCACCTGAATGTTCAAGCAGTTATTGCTCAGGAGCGAAACGAAGGACGCACACGCACATGAAACCACGCTGCTTTCGAGAATGCGCATTGCGCGAACGTGCGTATCACGCGGCCGTTCTCGCGGATTGGGGGCTGTGTTCATGAACGCGGTTGGGCGCGTACGTCTTTTGTGGGTTCCCGATGTGCGAAAGTGCAGGCGTAATCTATGACGCTGGCGGCGGTGGCGAGAGCGATGGCAGCGGGTAGCAGTGGTAAGCAGTGGGAGCCCTGCGAGGCCCGTCCTCTGGGCCCGGGATCGGTGCACAGGCCTCCCTGGCCGTTTCTTCACCGTTTCCGAAAGAGTGCTTCGTTAATCATACAAAACACGGCAACCAGAAACGGCACACAAAGGGCTCCGGAATAGGAGCCAGCGCCGATTACGAAACAAAGAAAATGGCGACGAAATCGGCAAAACAACGGCGACGGAACCGGCAACGAAAGCGGAAGAACGGACTGGAAAAAAACACGGCCTCTTTGGTTCCAGGGCCCACGAAGGCCAGTTTAGGCGCATGCGCAGATCTCAGGATCCAAAAATGGACACACACACACAGAAGCGAAGATTCCCAGGAAGCGATTCTGGAACAAAGGGGAGGTGCAGGGGAAGACGAATAGCCAAGAAACAAAAGGAATCTTGGTATTTGTATATCTGTGTTTATGTGTGTCCCTGGTCGCCTTCAATAGTTTCATCTCTTAACGACTATGAGCATCAATTGATGTGCAAGCGTGGTTTTGGAAGGTACCGGGCAAGGCACAGACACTGTCAAGCAGCGGTGTGGGCGGCGTCGACGACGGGAACGATGCAGACGGATTCTGCAACTTCTCGCGCCACGGGCACCGTGCGGAGAACGGATGGTGTGCGTTCCCAGATTTCTGCGTGGAAGCGCCTTTAAGGCCACCATTCGGGCGGACGTGTTCAGCTTACTGGTGCATCAGAGCTTCGGGAGTCTGGCTAGCTGTCGCGCCCTCTGGCCCCAGTCAAAAGACGGCGATTGCCCACCCACGATGATGGTGGCAATGGATGGAGACGGTGATGGTAATGGTGACGACGACGATGATGATAATGATGTTTCTGATGACGCGGATGATTCGCCGAGCAGCAGCCACGCAAACGGAGTTGCACGAGGGCTTGCGCATGCTGTTTGGGCGGAGTATGAGGACGCGAAGGCTCTCTCATAATTTGGTCCCCCCCAGCCTTAAGTTAGAACACGCCGCCGTAATGAACTGGCCCCTTCGCTTCCCAAGAAGGCGCCTGCAAACATTGCCATCGAGTGATTGCTCGGCTTTGCCAGCTGTGGCCGCGTAGGCCCGCGTCCCTCGGCTCGCCCCGGCCTGGTCGGCTGCCGCGGCCGCGCCGCGTCCTTCTGTCAGGTTGCTCTCGGCTCCCTTGGTCCCGGTGGAGTTCGGCCTCGCGTTGGGCTCGGTCCGTTCCGGTGCTGCTGCCTCAGTCGGCGATGCATCGCCGATCCAGCTCGGTCTTTCGCCTCTCTGAGCGGGTCCCCTGCGATCGTCGCCCCTCGTCTGGGGACTTCCCGGGGCCCTCCCCGATCTGCGACGCTGTCACTTCGGGGGCGGCAAAGAGGGGGGTGATGACTGGGGGCGGGGGGGGGGGGAGATCATGGCGTGGGCCATGATGTTTCCCCAGATTTCATGCTGCCTCTCCTTATGTCGTTGCGTCCTTGGCCCCCCCCTTGGGCCGCGCACGTGCCGCTGGCCATGATCTGCACCCCCCCCCCCCTCCCCGAGCGGCCGCCCCCGATCAGATGATCCCCTTCCACCCGGCCGGCTCCCCTCCAATGGGTCGTTCTATCCAGACGGCCCCCGGAGGCCCGGCGACCGAAGGTTGCAAAAAGCGTGCCGTCGTCGAGGGGGAGGGATCGAGGAGGGAGGGATCGAGGAGGGAGGGATCGAGGAGGGAGGGATCGAGGAGGGAGGGATCGAGGAGGGGTCGAGATCTCAGGAGGAGGGAGCGAGGAGGCAGCGGGGCTCTTCGCGCTCGCCCCCTGCCCCTGCCCCTGCCCCGCCCCCCCCCCCGCCGCGCCCGGCGGAGACTGTGCCAGCGACTGGGGCGCGGCGCCGGGCGGCGGCAGGCGCGGCCTCTCTTCGGGCTGGCGATCGCGCGACAGCTCAGCACGAACGACAGGAGGAGGAGGAGGAGGAGGCGGAGGAGGAGGAGGCGGAGGCGGAGACGGAGGCGGAGGCGACATTCGGG